GCAAAGGAATGCTAACTGACCTGTGCGTAAAAGTGTTCGCTCTCCCTCTATCCAGTGCTTGACACCCTCTCTCGCTTGTTGCAGGTCAAGTGTGGTCCTCTCCCCATCCCATCCAGTCAGTCAGTCCTTGCACCTGGGAGTCCCTCCCTGTGCGGCGTGTGCAGGAGTGGAGAGGGAGAGAGATGGAGAGAGTGAGAGAGATGGAGAGAGAGGAGGATTTTCAGATCACTTTGCACTGGTTTTGCCCAGAATAGCAAAGGCGAAACGCTGCCCCCGCCGGCCAGAGCCGGGTAGTGCAGGTGCTGCTGCAGAGCAGGTGCTGGGGTCTGGGGTCTGGGGTCCTCTCTGCCCCAGATGCTCAGCAGAGCAGATCTCGTCTGTGAGGGGCTCGAGTTTCCAGGAGACCTAACGTGGTATTTCTTTACATAAGGACACCAGAGTTTGTGGGGGCGACAGGAGATGAAGCTCCATCTGGTTCGCCTCCCACCATCCTGGCAGGTGGCTTGACCGGTTGGGTCCCAAACTATACACTGTGTGTCCCCCCTCCCCTCCCCCCCCAGATATAACTAATGTGCATGATACAAGAATCCAGCTTGTCCTGCATTGAGGACCAATTGAGGACCTCGTTGACTGTGTGACTCAATGGCTTCACACCATTGATTCCAAGTTCAACTGCTGCAGTGCGTTTTGAAGTTGAGGACTAACAAGAGCACAGCCCCACTGCAACGTTGGGGTTTACCCCTCACTGACAGCACCTCCCGACAATGCAGCCCCAGACCGTGCGAGTTCAGGGACCCATTGAGGGGCTTGAAACCACAGGCTTCCTACTCAACAGTGAGAAGAACTGAACCAGACTGACAACCATCACGTCAATACTACATTGTTTGCAGAAATAATATGCATATTTCTTTAAGATGAACTCACAGTGTAAACTAAACCTGAGATATGAAATCTTACAAGACTTGGTTATATGCCAAAGGATGATATAATATATATATATATATATATAAACCGGTCACATTCTGATACACATAGGCTCTGAAATTTAATGGGCTACTTATATTGCAGGAATGATCCCAGAAATGGTTCTATTCCACTCTCACCTTTGCGATGTGGATTAAAAGCCAGAAAAAGAGAAGCCAAGAAAATGCACTCGTCTTCTTGCAGAGGGAAGTGTATGGTCGGGGGTGGAAGCTACGCTGCCACATGCAATGCAGACTGACACTGTCATGGAGTTTCACCCTCAAGAGTTCCTTTCAAAGGAGCAGTGCCAACCCATCAGGGAGTTTTTCCTGACAGCCTCACTTCCTGAAATAGTCCTAAAAGGCCCTGTTACAAGCATTTTCCTGCAAAGACATCATGTTGGGACACCTTCCAGGCTGCCTGCAGAATTTTTATAGTGTGCTTTTTTTTTCCCCCCCCCCCATGTATTTTTTTAATCCGCAAGTCGTATTAAACATTGAATGATGTCCACATTTGCGAGACACCTCTGTGTGTGTGTGTGTGTGTGTGTGTAAAAGAAAAAAAAGAAACAAATTCATTCTTAATGTCCATTTGGTGGGGTGGGGTGGGGTGTGTGGCCAATTTGTCTAATCCGAGTTAGCTTTCTGATTTATTCTGCTGTGAACTGAAGGGGAGAGCTGCGATTTGCAGGTGTTCCTGAACTAATTCCTTGTGATGTGACGATGCAAAATCGGGAACACCGTAAATTGCATCTCCCGTTCCTCCAAAGTCGCTAAAATGCAGCGCAAACGACGCGGTTTAACGGGTACTCACAGCCGAGTTCTTGAGCTCAAATCGGGTCTCAGTCTTGTGGAGAGCATTTCACGGTGGTAACACTGTTAGATTGCACATCGGTCCTATAATGTGCATATTGTTGTCTGGTCTATTCTCGCATCATATGCAACACTACAACATAACTTCTCGGTGAGGTTATTCTCCTCTCCGCCTGGTCACGGTTTGCTGTGCATCTGACCCAAGAAACACACTTGTGAATTGCCCAAGAACTCCCCCCACCCTCACCCTCACCCCCACCCACCCTCACCCCCTACCCCCCACCCTCACCCTCACCCCCTACCCTCTCCTCCTCCAAATCCAACGCCTCTGTGGAGCTTCCAACGTGGAGAGAGATGGAGAGAGATGGAGATGCAATCACCGTGTCCGCATCCGACAGCACAGAGCCAACACGAGTGCGTTCACAGAATTTGCACATCGATCGATCAATTTAATTGCCTCTCCGAATGGGACTGAGAGCTCAAACACCGACACCAACCCACAGAGACAGCAAAACAGTGCAACGTGTGTCCTTACCGACCAAGACGCTGCAGCTGGACTGCTTCTGATTGCTAAATAATAGTGCATTAAAACCCCTCTCTGCGCTGAGAGTGACCCACATGATTATTTATCATCGATGCAATTGATCCCCATTCACTCCGGAGTTTCCTGATCATCCACAAAGTACCGTAAGCTGCCGAGGCTGAATTTTCCCCCCTCGCCATCACCTGTTGAGACGAACCCCACCGAAGTGCAATCCGATTTTCCTTTTTTGGAAACCTTTTTTAAAAAAAAAAAAATTGCATTATTGTCATCATTCCCAGTGTATGACCCAAGGGGTTCCCAACAGTCAACGCATCTGCTTTGGCTTTCATATAAAGTCAGGGGCAACGTTTGGCTAAACACTAAGTGCTGCAAAAGATACTGCAAGGAAGTAGCAAAAGGAAGTAATAAGATAGCATCTGACTCTGTCCCAGAGCAGAGGGCAGATACAACAACAACAGCAACAACGACAACAAGATTCCATTTATTGAGCGCCTTTCGCGTCGGGAGGACGTCCCGAGGCGCTGTACAGTTGGGTCAGGACCCGAGCATTGGGGGGAAATGGTCAGGGTGAGGGGAGGGGAGGGAGGGAGCGAGGAGGGGGGAAATGGTCAGGGTGAGGGGAGGGAAGGGAGGGAGCGAGGAGGGGGTAGAGAGTCGAGAGGAGAGCTGAAGGCTGAAGGTCAAAGAGAAGTTCCTGCAACGTGCAAAGCGGGTGTTTTTTTATGAGTAAAGTTATTGCTGCTTACGCGCTGCAAGATGTTTGGAGGTGTCTATATACTATACAATTCTTGCTTTTCCGAAGAAAATAGCACAGTGGCATTTTTTTTGGCAGCTGAAGCTGAGCACTGAAGGGATTGGGAGGATTCCAGACACGCAGCGCCCCCGTGCGGGCAAACCAGGAACGAAGGAATAATAATAATAATAATAATCCTTGCATTTGAACAGAGCGCTTTTCACGTCTTCTGGACGTCCCAAAGCGCTTCACGGAATAGACTGTAAAGTGAATTGACTGTATGTTTGTGGGCGAACGCGGCGGCCGATTGCGCACAGCAGCGTCTGTCCCGCAAACAGTCGTGGATTGAAAATGACCAATTTATTATTGTTTTTGGTTTTGGAGGGATTATTATTAGGCTCTGTGTGGAGTGAGGAAACTTGCCCAAGGTTTCGCCCTCTGCCTGGAATTGAACTCAGGTCTCTCACTTGCAAAGCGAGTGCTCTAACCACTGAGCTACAGGACTCCACAGTTTCGAACTGGAAGATAATAATAATAAGAAGAAACCTTGCATTTGATATAGCGCTTTTCACGTCTTCTAGACGTCTCAAAGCGCTTCACAGAACATACTGTGATGTGAATTGACTGTATATTTGTGGGCGAAACGCCGCAGCCAATGGAGATGGAGAATAATAATAATAATAGTAATCCCTGCATTTGATATAGCACCTTATCACGTCGGTGAGCCTTAGCCTCATCGCCTCCAAATCATTGCGAGCGATAGGATCGCGAATATTTATCAGCCATGAACCACCCAGTAAAAAAAATATAACTGCAAATCTCACCATACTGCGCTGACTTCCATCAGTTGTCTCCTCACTTGCAGTGTACAGTGAGATGCAATACATTACTTGTACTTTATCAAGTCTTTTGCTCCACCACAGATGGGTTGAAAGACCTAGAACTAATTGAATTATTTCCCCAATTCTCTAAACACAATAATAATAATAATATTCCTTGCATTTGATATAGTTCCTTATCTCAAAATGCTCCACCCCATCGCCGTTTTTCATTAAGACCTACTGGTTTCATTAACATGCAGAGTAAACTTCCTCCTACGTGCAATAGCCAAATAATATGCCTTGGTGTCATTGATCTTAAAGGAAAGTCATTTGACCGCAAAGAATCATCACTGGTATCATTCGCTACCCTTCATTTGGAACTTGGACAAACACGATTGGAAAACTTGGCAGCAACCCTAAGTAGTGGCGAAGCGCAATTGTTTGGTGCAATATGTGGAGCCAGCCGGGCTGCCTGCAGCAGCAACAACAACAACAACGACAACAACAATCGTAAAAATCCTTGCATTTCTCTTGCATTTGATAGAGCTCTTTTCAGGTGCGGGGAGGGGGTGGGAGGGCGACTCGCCGTCTTTGGGGAAGTGTAGTGACTGCGTGCGACGCAGGCGAAAGCGAGCACGGTGCTTCCAAAGACGTCCTCCTGACGTGAAAGGCGCTTTATAAATGGAATCTTGTTGTTGTTGTTGTGTTGATGGCGTCCGTCCGTCCAGGTGGAGTGAGTCGGGTGTCCAGGAATGACTCGCCCCAAAGTGGCCCAATATTATTTCTCGCCTCCTGCGGGTAAAGGGGGGAGCGGCCAATGTAGGTTAGAAAAGGTTGTCAGAAAAGGTTTTCGGGGGGTGGGGAGAGGCTCTTCGAAAGGGGGTGGGGGGGCTCTTTAAGGGGGGGAGGGTCTTCAAAGGAGGGGGGGGGCGGGTCATCATCAAGAGGCGTCTTCAAAAGGGGGAGGGTCTTCAAACGTGACGAAAGCCAGGGTCCGCGCCTGCGCAGTGGGCTGCGCCCGGCCCTTGCCCCGCAGTGTGAGGGGCGTCCGCCCCCTGACGATGCGCTCACTTCCGGTTGGCCCCCGGGGGGTGGGGGTGGGGGGGTAGGTACTTCCGGGTGACGAGGAGCCAACGGAAGCGAGCGGGAGGGAGAGGAGGGAAAATGGCCGCCAGGGAGGCAGTCAGGAGCGGGGTTGGGTTTGACAAAGCCCCGCCGGGAAGGATTTAGTTGTTACCTCACGGGGCTTGTTCTCTCTCCTCCCCCCCCCCATTAAAACATGATTAAAACGGAGAAAACGCTGCACCTGAGGAGCTGCAAGGGCAAGTCTGTCCGCGTTGTGAGGGAACATTACCTGAGGGACTCGGTGCCCTGTCACAGCTCCCTGTGCCAGGCGCAGTGCCACAATGGTAACAACAACAACAACAGCAGCAGCAGCAGCTGTGCAGTTGACACACCGCGCCTTTACACGTCGGGAGGACGTCCCAAGGCGCTGGGCAATCCAATCCGTGTTTCAGACCCGTTGGGGGTGTGGAGGCCAAAGGGGGAATTTGTGGGGGGGGGGGGAAGGGCAGGGGAATTTGGGGGGGGGGAGGGCAGGGGGAATTGTGGGGGGGGGAAGGGGGAATTTGGGGGGGGGCGAAGTTGGGGGGTTGATGGAAGGCACATTCGGTTGAAGAGGAGGGTCTATAGATGGGTCTTGAAGGAGTTGAGATGGGTCTTGAAGGGAGGTGAGGGGGTGGGGGCGGTGGGACGAGGCGGAGGGACAGCAGGATGGAGTTCCAGAGGGTGGGGGCAGAAGGCCCGACCGCCATTGGTTGGGGCGGGCAAGGCAGTGGGGCAGACGTGAAGCAGGCAGGAGCCCGCTGAGAGGAGGGAGCGAGCAGGTTGGTAGGGGGTTTAGAAGGTAACGTATGGTGAGGGACGGTGGGGGGGGGGGGCAGCACCCAGTAACCATGGCCACACTCACTAATAATAATTTGCAGTATATGCAGTGAAGCACTTTGAGACGTCTAGAAGACGTGATATGGTGCCATATCTAATTATTTTTATTATAATAACCCATGCTTTCCACACCGCGCCTCTCATGTCCACAGCACCTCAAAAGCGCTGCACAGGGTTTGCATACAGTGTCACTGGCTGCGTGTTTGTGCGTCAGCCTGGGGCAGTGATATAACTCTTACCTCTTTAGTCAGAAGGTCGTAGGTTCAAATCCCACTTCAGGACTTGGAATCATATCGTCTAATAAGATGACACTCCAATACAGTCCGGGGGTGGGAGGGGGTGTTGCTTTGTCCGACATTAAACCTGTTCAGGTGGATATTAAAGACCTCAATGGCACTATTCAAACAAATAGAAGGGGCTTACTCTCTCCTGGTGTCCTGACCAACAATCCCCCAAATAAAATTGGTCACAGGAGCTTCATATCCTGTAAAGCTCTTTGAGACATCTCAACTATGTGATAAGTTGTTATATCAAATGCAAGGATTATTATTTGAAGTGGAAACTTAGTGTAAATTATTTTTTTTTATAATGTCCATCTGAACAGGCGCATCCAGCGCACATGTTCGTACAGCTGTTGCGCTATCTTGGCTTGTAATGTCACTGGAAGAGTCGCAGTGGTTTACTTTTTCTGGCTTCTGGAGTTATCAATTTAACCTGCTTTCCCTATCCTGCCATTTCAACTTGAGTGAAAATAAAATTTTATTGAACTGAAGCATTGATTGCATTATAATTTCTAACAAGATTGGCTTTGAACTGTCGACTGACATTTTCAATGTTTAAAAATGTTATTTTGTTCCTAAAGAAGGGGAAGAAAGCAATACGTTTTTTAAAAAACACAAAACAGCGCTAGCAGTGAAATTCACTAAGTTCTTGCAATAGTTTCTATATTTAATGATCCATCCTAGTTACAAAATGCAGATTTTTTTAATTTAAAAAAACCCTCACATTTGCTGTTTGTCAGAGATTTACTATTTGATAACTTTTTTGGCAAGGGTTTGAGATGAAACGGAACCACATAAAAAAGATTTAGCATCGCACAATAAATTCTGATTTTTAAATTGCTTCCTTAATTTTATGGTTCTAACATTTAATTAGAAATATAAAGTAGACATCACTCCTTTCTCTATTTAGAGAGGATGAAAGACTAGGTGCAGACAGTCAGGGTACTACTGATCAAACGATCCAGTGACAGCCCCATGTCACATGCTTGCTGTGACTTTATGTGTTATTATGACTTATAAGGGGCATAATATAAATGTGAATGTTGAAAAAAATTATTAATATGGAATAAAAAGTGGCAAACAAACCAACAGACATTTTGATGGCTGTCCTCAGCACTAAAGTGCGTGTGCTGGTGGTAATAATAATAGTAATAATCCTTGCATCTGGTGTAGTGCCTAATCACGTTGGAAGGATGTCTCAAAGTGCTTCATAGGTTTACTTTGAAATGTAGTTACTGTGTATTTGTAGGCTGGTAGAACGTTTGGCAGGTGTTATAATGGGACTGAGTAATAGAAGACATGGTCTTAATGAGCATAATCTGCCATGAATAAATACAGTATTAATGGTAATTTCCATGCAAATGTTTTTTTATAAGCATTTAATTGTAAAATTGACTATATTTCAGAGGGTAAGTTGCTGCCTGAAGATGTGACTCATTTTGTGATACCTGACTGGAAGGTGGTGCAGGATTATCTCGAGATACTGGAGTTTCCAGAACTGCGAGGAATTGTCTTCATGCAGACGGCATGCCAGGCTGTACAGCATCAAAAGGGACGCAGGTCAGAGGTGCTGCTTATCTCAAACCTTAGATAAAGATCTGCCATGATCTGATAAAGTAGAGGAGCAGGCTTAATGCTTCTACCTGTTCTCACTCCCTATCACGTTACACCCAAACTATGCTGAAATTGTTGGAGGTGCCGTTCTTTGGATGAGACTTTAAACCGTGGTCCCACCTGCCTGTTGAGGTGGATATTAAAGATTCCGTTGCACTATTCAAAAAGAGAAGGGAGTTTCTCTCCCGGTGTCCTGGCCAACAATCCCCTAAATAAAATTGGTCACTCACTCCATGGCTTTTGCAATAAAAGCTGAGGACATTGTTGTGCACAATTGGCTGCTGCATTTCACCCACAAAATACACAGTAAATCCACTTTACAGTACATCCTGTGAAGGTCATTCAGGTGTCTCGTTGACGTGATAAGGCACTATTTCAAACACAAAGATTCTTCTTCTTATTAATATATATTGTTCTCTTCCAGATGCATTGACTGACCTTAGTAACACTTTGGACTAATATTGCTTAGTTTGTGGTGTCTTAAACAAAACTGCACAACAATGTAAAATTTTATTTTAGAAATTTATACTTCTGCAACCTCTCTATTAGAGAATTTAAATTAGTCCTGCTTAAATTGGGCCGTTAGTGTTAGTGCATTTAATCTTTGTAGGAGTTAGGAACTCTAAATTCTTGCAATTTATATGCCAGTAGCTCCCAGCTAAGAAACCATGGGAGCCAATCTCAACTTCTGTGACATTTTCTAAATTTAACAGTGAAGCTAGGGTGCCATATGCGTGGAGGGAAATTTAGGTCATATCTTAAATCTAGACCATATTTTGAGAGCAACTAGTCAGAATTTTTTTTTAGAATACTGTGTTGTTTCACATTGTGTTGGTACTTTCCATTGTAATTCCTAACTCAATAGTTATGTTGTTGAGAGGATTACTGAGTGAAAGCCAAGCTATTGTCGTTCCACTGGTTGGTGAGTTGGAAACTTGAGGGCATGATTTTAAGAGCATCACCAAAAAAAAAGTAGGGAGAGTTTGGGAGAACTTATTTTACACACAGGATTATTAGAGTCGAATGTTGAAATACAACTCAATATTGCTTTTAAAAGGGAATTGGAGAAATATTAGAAAAGGAAAAAATGTAAAAGGATTTAGAAAAAACACAGGGAGGTGGAACTAAATGGACTGAATACCTTCCTCTTCGACTGTGCCTTCAGTCAACCTCTCACCCTCCCTGCCCTCCACTGCTCTTCATCCTAACTCCCAGCACAGGTTCAAATCCTTGACTATCCAGTGCCTTGGGATGTCCTCCCAACGTGAAAGGTATTGTGTAAATGTAATTTGTTGTTGTTGAATAGAGTTCTGTCTCTAAAATTCAATGATTCTTATTTTCATTGAGGAATTCAGATACAGCTACACCGTAAACCTGAAACCTGAAGAGTGAAGATTGAATAGTTTCTAACAGTATTACACTTGAATCCCGATAAAAGGCTTGTCAGGAGATTTCATGCTTGGATCAGTGTTTCTGTTGTGAGAAAAATAACCTATTTGCACCAGAGTCCATTTAATTATTTTTCCAGCAATTCAATCAGTGTCGATTCCACAGAAAACACTTAAGAAAATCATATTCTTTACACGAAAGTGATTGGATTTAGCAGCCCACTGGTGCTGTGTATTGGTGTGTCATGATTCATTGCACTGTGAGTTTCTGATTTAGAGCAGATGTTTAGGAGAGGATGATGGGTGGAGGTCACAGGAAATCAGAGGCGTGATAACAACAACAACAGAATTACATTTGTAAAGCACCTTTCACGTCGGGAGGACATCCCAAGGCGCTGGACAATCATTGTTTCGGACTCAAGCTGAGGGGGCATAGGCTGCCGAGTTCTGGATGATCTGTAGCCTATGGAGAGAGGAGTTGGGGAGGCTAACGAGCAGGGAGTTTGGGTAGTCGAGCTGTGATGTTATGAATGTGTGTATGAGCGCTTCCCTATAAGTACGTGTGGCAAAAGCATTCTTTATTGGTTGATTGAAGGTTAACATATACAGAGATAAGAGAGGGTGTTGTCTATCTGCATTCAGTGTATGTCGCAAGATGACCGTTTGAGAAATGTGTTCAGTCAAACGTTGGGCGTCATGATTCTTGCAATATTCTTGGAATAAGTAGAAAACAATCTTATATTTTTGATTTTCAAGTCGTGATAGATACTGCAGTTATCAAAAGGTTAAGTAAAATACTTTTAATTAACTCCCCACTGACATTTCCAGAAGGTTTCCCTTGAGGATTATGCGTCTGTTAAAGGCCTTGGGCTATTTTAATCATAAATCATCAACCTAACAGATTGCAGTTAATCTTAAACTTGTTGTTCATTTATTTCCCACCGAGCACCTTATGGCCATTTGTACTCAGTGATACAGTTTAGTTTCAGTTGGTATTTTCACTACAACCTTTTAAGGACATCCAAGATCATTCCTCCGCCTTTTACTTGAATTATTTTTCTAATGAATTGTCAGACCTTTTCACAAACGTCGCTGCAATTTATGAATGGAAATGAAAATCTTGTTTATTTTTAAATAATGGAGATCAAAAGACAAAGAGCAAGGGTATTGGGGAGGCGGGGTGGGGGGGGGGGCGGGCAGAGGGGGAATCATCAGACACTGAAAATTCTCTGTAAAAATCTCTGAATTCTTTTAAAATGTGCCCTTGCCACTTCCCTGGGTGAGATTGCCAATTTTAGTCAAATTTATAGCCGATTTTATGATGTGGAATCACCCACTAAGAAACAAAGCCAAAATTCATTATATAGGGCTCTTAAGATGTAAGAGAGGATTATTTTAGCCAGGGTTGAATTTGATCCCAAGTTTGAGGTGAAAGGAACATATGCTAACCTAGTTTCCCCCCCCCTCCGCCCCTTCCTTCTCCCCTCAATCAGTACCAATATGGCTAAAGAAAACCATATTGTAATATTAATGGTAAGTGTGCAGAATTTAAAAAATAAACAGCAGACAAGACACACCTGAGAGCATTCCAGTCCTTCTCAACCAGCAGTAATATTACCCAGTACCTATTCAGCGTGGCCTGTTTACCAGTTAGGGCTTTGACACAGTTGAGGACACATCCACGATTCTTCAGCCTCACCAACAAGCCAAATAGGCTGATGAATCCTCAACAGTGCCTTGAATTGCTTTACTTTTGCCTGGTTTTACAAGACATCTCCTTTGAGCTAGTTCAACCTTAGGGAACCCTTCACCTCCTTAAGGAGGATATAATATATATTTTAGATGATCCTTAGTTTAGTCAACCCACTTGTATTTCAAACTGATAACCTTCTGCTCCAAACTCCACTGCTCAATCATGTTAAGCCCTTTCGCTGTATCATTTCACTGAATGATGTAGGGAAATTATTTATTATATATATACACACACAATTGGAGGATGAAGGGATGAGGTGTTTGTGACCACCGTTACATTGTACTAAATCACACTAAAGTGGTATCATCAAATGCTTCTATCTCCGTACTATTTGAAGTGTCAAATGGAAGCGCCTCAGAAATAACTCGTGTCTGACATGAAAAAAATTACTCAGAAGCAACTTGGAAGCAATCAGAGAAGCTGAGCTGTTTGTGACCTTGAAAGCAATCGCCTTTGGGTAAAATCTGAATATGAGAGAAGATCTCCCGTATGGTTAGCTGCCGATGAATGGAACATTTTGCCCGGCAGTGTCCAAACTTTGTAGAAATGTAAAGCTTTTTCGGAGGACATTAGTGAAGCTCAGATGGAGAGAGTTGTTTCAAAATTTACAAGGAAAGTAAGTCACCAAGGGAGAAGTTTAACTGAATCTGAACTGCCATAAGGTTACATTTTTAAAGTTTGGAGAGAGGAAACTCAGTAGGTAAAGTGAATCCTGCACTTGTTTACAGAGCTCCTGGTGAGCAGGTGTAATGTGCTACAGTCCAGGTTGGGACAGGTCACCTCCTGATTTCTGTGGCTGGGGAACAATGTGTAGGTAGGCAGGTTTTGCGATGAGAGTGGGATCAAAGGCTTAAGAGAAAAGTGAATTGGTCCAAACTGACCTGACTGCCCACGAGTTTTTTTCGTTGCAGACAGTACAAGAAGCTGAGGAACTTGCTGAAGGATGCTCGCCACGACTGCGTTATGTTCTTCAACGAATTCCAACAGTACTCGTACATGCCAAGGGAGCAGGGAGAGCCTCTGGAAAGATGGTACACCAGGTCTGTTACTGTTACATGGTTTGATATCATAATACATCTATCTGATATGACTCCCATAACATTGCAACGACACACAGCTTCATAGGTAATTGTTGGGAAATGGCTCTGAATTTTTGATTTAGCTGTTTGAGATCAGAGTGAGACGGTGACAAAACTGATCCACTAATTCAGAGAATTGGAGAGACGGCATCACCAGCCTTTGGCTGAGGGAGAACAGCACTCTCGCCTCTGAGCCACACAAAGAAACTGATGTTATTTATCTGTTTCAGGTGCATTTACTACGCTACAGTCTGGTATTACAACCATTTTGCAGGCCTGATGCCAGTTGTCATGGTAACAGAAGACATGGAAGCCATTCAGAAGTATGGGAATGAAACGGATGGTGTGTTTGTTGTATCCTTTAAGGTACTGTACATTTCTGTGTTGCCTATAAGAGCCGATCAGTCAGCTAATACATTATTGGTTAAATATTGGGTAAACGTCCCTTTTATTCAGTTATGAATGTCAACATTCAACAAACTTTAAATCCAGTGGCAATCTACATCTCATACATTGCAAAAGCATATATCAGACTCTTATGCAATTAGTCAACTGTACTTTACAGAGTCCTTTTTTTACAACAACGTGCCATTGATAAACGGCCTGTTTTGCAGCAGTCAATGAAAATGCAGACTTGTGAATGGGAATGGTCGAGTTCTACCTCTAGATGGCATTAGTGTTACTGGAGTCCTGTAGCTCAGAGTACTCGCCTGGCAAGCGAGAGACCTGGGTTCGATTCCCAGCAGGTCAGGGCAAAACCTTGGGCGAGTTTCCTTACTCCACACACCCGATAATAATCCCTCAAGAGAAAAAAAAAACAATAATAAATCGGTCACTTCAATCCACAACTGTTTGTGGGACGCTGCTGTGCGCAATTGGCTGCCGCATTTTGCCCACATATATGCAGTCAATTCACTTTACAATATATTCTGAAACGCTTTGAGACATCTAGAAAATGTGAAAAGTGCTATATCAAATGCAAGGATTATTTATTATATTACTGAAAATAGCAGGAGTAAAGAATGAGCAATTAAAACTTTTTAAGAAGAGAACTTCATTAGGCCTCTGTTATTAGACTTTTATGTAGTCTGTTCTCCTCATAGCTGAAATGATTGTACTCAGCAAAACAACTCAAGCCTCACATTTGAAACTGCCTCCCACCTTTTTTTTTAAGAATTATTTGGAGAACTTTTGGCCTGACCTGGAATCTATACATGAACTGTATGAATCCTTAGTTCAGTCTCGGAAAGAAAGGGAGAGCGAAAGTCAGGAAAAGAATGGAAAAGAATATCCAGAACATCTCCCTCTGGAAATACTCGAAGCTGGAATCAAATCTGGAAGATACATCCAGGTAAGTCCAGTCGGTCATGTGTACACACACTGTCTAAAATGATTGTCACCTCCATTGTAACATCCAATCATTGAATAATCCTTTAAAAATTCTATATCAATGTTGTCTTACACCAGTAATAATTAAGGCTTTCACCTATAAAATACACAGCCACAACACTTTACACTATATTCTTTGAAACCCTTCAAGACAACCTTCCAATGTGAAAGAAGCTATGTCAAATCCAAGTTAACGTTGATTAACAAAATAGATTTCAACTTGTACTTTGATGTTACAGGCTACACAGATGGAAACCTAGGAAGATCAGTTGTACAGTATTTGTAATTCGATTGATTTTCATTATCAGTTGCTGCTAACTGGACCATTTGCCCAGGTTTACACCCAAACTACACAATCATTTTCAGTGCAGTGTTTGAGGTGGTTCTGTTTTTCTACAGTTAAGCAACAACCATATGAATCTGTTGCTGTTACTCAGCATCTATTATTATGAATTTGCATTCACTTGAAGAGCTGTATCAGTGGAAACCTGGAAAGCAGGTTAAGCATTCCCCCAGGTAAAGGTAATGGTGCCTTGGAAAGCAAAGGAAAGGGCTAATCATTGTGTCAGATGATATTAATTCAGTTCCCTCACACTTTTGGGTACAGCAGATTCTGCAAACCTCTGTCTATACCCAAGTGTAGCGTGGATCACATATTAAAGCACTTGTTCCCACATGCATAATTCAACTTATCTCATAATAAAATAGGACTTAAAGATATCTGACTTGATAAACAGGTAGATCCAACACAATTCTCCAGTCAAGAGTTATAGGCAATCTGCTTCCAGCTCTCTTATCTGTTTTTGTAACGAGTACTAACTTATCATACTTGCATTTGATATTAAGGAAAAGTATCTCATAGCTTCAACAACAAATACACCATCAATCCACTTGACAGTATATCGTGCTTTGAGATATCTTGTTGTTGTATATCTTGATGACATAAGGCGCTATAAATGCAAGGTTTATTATTATTATGATAGTGATTCATGCAGTGAGTTACTCCCACACCATGAACTAGAGTTTATTTAAAATAATTTCCTCTCGCGTGAATTTGCTTTGTGTGTTTAGGGTGTTCTGAACGTCAACAAGCACAGATCCCAGTTGGAAGCCTTTGTTCGCATCCAGGGACTGAATAATAAAAATTCAGGTAAATATTCTCCACTTCTCTCTCCTCTCTCTCTTTATGTACTGGAAGAAAGCAACCTCTTTGTATGACATGTCCTTGTCTGCCAGAGCTGCAGAGTGACCTGCTGGTCTACGGCACGAAGGCTCGGAATCGAGCTGCCCATGGGGACGTGGTGGCTGTGGAGCTGCTGCCACGCAGCGAGTGGACGGGGAGAGTGTCCGTACTGTGTGAGAAGGAGTCTGAAGAGAAGGCCTCAGAAGAGACTGAGGTCGAACCAATGCCCACAGGTAATTTCATACTAACAAGGTCACCACCATTATTTTAGAGTCATAAAATCCTACAGCACAGAAGGAGGCCATTCGGCCCATCGTGCCTATGTCGACTCTTTGAAAGAGCTACCGACTCATCCCACTCCCCTGCTCTTTCCCGTAGCCTTACAATTTTTTTTACTATTAATACTGCAGCGGAGAAACTGAAGTGAAATGTTTTTAATCTTTTGCATAATCCCCTTTTCCCTTTCCAGCCAAATTCCCCTTGCCCATATATTTTAATAGTTTGTATTTAATACTTCACACACCTCGATTACACCAGAGTGGGGGAAGCGTTTTCGACTACACTTGCTACGTCTTGTTGATCTGCAGGTAAAGTCATTGGAATTATTCAGAGGAACTGGCGCGATTACGTCGTGTCTTTCCCACCCAAAGACGACGTACAGTCCCAGGGTAAAAATGTTCGGAAGATCCTGGTAACACCTTGGGATTACAGAATTCCTAAAATAAGGATCGCCACACAGCAAGCTGAATCCCTTCAGGTAGGAATATCTAAGACCATTTTCCCCTGTCCGCATCCCCCTCTCTGAGCATTCCATATATACTTTTTAATACGCTGATTATTTATTATTATAATAATCGTCATAATCTCCCAATGTCACAGGATTACCGGGTAGTTGTGCGCATCGATTCCTGGGATTCCACCTCGCTTTACCCCAACGGACACTTTGTCAGAGTTCTCGGGAAAGCCGGAGACCTGGAGACGGAAATCGCGGCCATTCTTGTAGAAAACAGCATCTCAATCAGCCCGTTCTCCGAAGCCCAGGTTCTCTCTTTATTCATTTTGCTTATTGAGAGCAGGCGATGTTAAACGTTAGACTATAGCCAATACATACAACCGTGTTCCCAAAGCAAATCCGATCTTAAAATAGTGTAAAAAATAGAAGTGGCCTTGACATGACAATTGTATTGAATTGAAGACTGAAATATTGTATTGATGTGTAAAATCATATCACTGATTCTCGGAGAGCTCTTTAGGAAAGCACTAACGGTATTGGCGTTGGGGGAAAAAAAAACATCTTGAGGATGTGAAGTGTAACTCGTTCTGCAAAAGCCATGTACGTCTCACTGTCTCGAGTCCGTGTCCTCGGCTACAACACCCCATCGCCTTGGGGCTCGGGTCTCTTGTCAGTTGGTGTCATACACCAGAGCTTCCTTGCTCACGGATCACTTTTATTTCGCAAGCACCAAAAAAGTACCTGCACTTGTGTGGGGCGCACACTTTGAACTTGCTGCCTCTCCCACTCTAGCTACGGGAAATGCCCGTCAATACCCCAGAGAATCCCTGGAAAATGGACACAGAGGAGCAGGCCCGCCGTGTGGATCTGCGGAAAACTCACCTGATCTTCAGCATTGACCCGAAGGACTGCGAGGATGTGGATGACGCGCTCTCCGTCCGAAGATTAGCCAATGGGAATCTGGAGCTGGGCGTCCATATCGCAGATGTCTCCCATTTTGTCAAACTCAACTCGCATGCAGATCTGGAGGCAAGATCGAGGTAAAGTTAGTTACATAATGGAAGAGGTTAACTAATCAGATAGAGAACAACAGATTCCTAAGGGTTATTGTGAGATTGTACAAATGCAGCTAACTAGCAGCAAAATCGCTGTCTTAAAAGTTGCTGTCTCTGTGTCTCACTTGTTAAAGACACTAATTACCTGGTGTGAAACTGAGCCATATACTTCTAACCCCAAGCCTACATCATTAAAATAAGATATTTTGGGACTCCTATCTGTAACGGTCCTACAGGTCCTCGAGCCTCAAAGCGCTTCCCAGGATATACTATAAAATGAATTGACTGTATTCTGTGGGCGAAACGCGGCAGCCAATTGCACACAGCAGGGTCCCACAAGCAGTCGTGGATTTAGACTGCGATCTAGTGTGGTAGAAATCATCCTGTTGATTGTGTGAAAGTCTGTTCCTAAGTCAAAAAAGATCACTAATTCACTCAATGATATACTGCTCAGTATCAAATTTCTCCACTAGTGAGCCATCTAAGGAGAAAGTTATTGGGAATAAAAGTTCACCTGTACATAGCTTTTGCACCAACTCGTGTTATTTCCTTTTAGGGCAACCACTTGTTATCTAGCTGATCGACGCTATTACATGTTGCCAGCGATCCTAAGTGCTGATCTGTGCTCTTTACTTGGAGAAACTGACAGGTAAATAAATCTGTCGCGGCTGACATACAAAATGTAAATAAGGAAAAAAAAATCCTGCTTTGGTGGAGGAGGATTTAAATTATATTTATATTTTCTGTTTTTTTTTCTTCTGTGACTTCTTCTCAACTTGTTTTGTAATCAGTGCTCAGCTTTACCTCGTCATTCACTTTAAGGTACGCAGTGAGTGTCTTGTGGGAACTGGACAAAGGCAAATATGAAGTCCTCAAGGTCTGGTTTGGCCGCACGATTATCAGGTCAGCGTACAAGTTGCAATATGAGGCAGCACAGGCTTTGCTGGACAGGTACCTCAAGGTGGCAGAGGACATCCCCGAGCTCAAAGGGACGGATGTGAAGGAGAGACAGCGCAAATTGAACGAGCTGACGTGGGCCGTGGAGAAGCTGACTGAAATCGCCCGGCAGTTGCGGGCCAAACGTGACCTGGGAGGTGCCCTGGAGCTTGAAACGATTGAGGTGCGGGTGCAGCTGGACGAGAAGAAGAACATCGACGACCTGGTCCCCAAACAGCCGCTGGAGGTGCACGAGACGGTGGCCGAGTGCATGATCATGGCCAACCACTGGGTGGCCAAGAAGATAACCGAGAGCTTCCCTCACCAGGCTTTGCTGCGTCGACACCCTTCGCCACAGCAGGAGTTCTTCACTGCGCTGGTTGAGTGCGCAAAGGCAAAAGGATTCAAAATAGACACAAGGTAAACGGGAGAGACTGTGCGCTTTTGTGTGTTTGTGTGTGTGAGAGAGAAAGAGAGAGCATGGGAGTGTTCTTGGTTGAATGTTTCTCGATTTACGCCACAAACATTCAATCAAGAATGGGGGGGGGGGGTCTTGAAGGCCTCAGGGGCCACTTCCGGCCCGCGGGCCACAAGTTGGCTATTAGTGCCTTAAGGTGTAAAATCGGAAGATAAAAGTTTGGTTTAGGAATCAACTGAAAACAATGGAGAAAGGGCAAGTGGGGATCATTACAGCCAAATCCCCACTTCCTGATCTTATCTAACGTCTGCACACATGCAGTCACTGGATGATTTATTTCTCCTTCCTATGCCCCACCCTATGCTCGTCTTACCTGTTTTGAAGTAAATTCAGTCCAGACCTGGATTCAAACCTGGCACCTTGTGAGTCTGTATGGCTCAATTTCATACTTGTGCTGTAGCTTGATTAACCTTTGGTAATAATTAACGAGTGTACCCATCAGTGAAATAACAGAGCTGTCAAATTCTGACTATGTCTATAATTAATGTGCCAGGAAACAAGTGAATTGGGATTATTCTGGAGCACGATTCCTATATATTATGGACAGAATGCTGCAGCCTTTAATCATTCACTAACTGGTTCATAAAGTACCAGAAAACAGGCGTAGTGTATTTTGCAGAAAGAAGCAATTTAGTTTTGTTAAATCGAAAAGTGTCTGTGGACGAAAGATCTCCATGCAGTGAATATCATTCGAGCGTGCCTACGGTCACCTCCCCCTGGCTCCACCACTGCCAAGCGCTCTGGGATGCTCGTGTGTGAGGGGCACTATATAAACGCAAGTAGTTGTTGTATATGGCGCTGAGCATTAAAAGTAGTATTTTGTGTTCCAATCAGGAGAGGTTTTTGGTCAATCGGAATTCTACTCATGTCAAGTCTGTATTTACATGACTATTACAGAGCGTCACATTTCCAAGATCTGCTTTGAGATATTTGGTGGAAAATCCCCCCCAAAATTCTAATTTTTAAGGCATTTTGTTTTTACTAATTTCAGGTCGAACAAAGCTCTGGCTGATTCCCTGGACAAAGCGGAGGATGTGAATGACCCTTTGGTTAACAGAGTGCTGCGATCTATGGCCACACAAGCAATGTCGAATGCCCTCTACTTTTCTACTGGCTCCTACTCGCAGGAAGAGTTTTATCATTATGGTACAGCAAATCTGCATAGACGTTAACATTTCCATATCCTCAGATTTCGATTTACAGAGAATAGAATGCAGCGTGGGGAAATAATCACCAGCGTAGCTCGTCTTAGATGTTTGGGACTTTATGAAATAATAATAATCCTTCTGTTGAGAAATCCGTCTGTTGAGAAATCACTTGACTGAATCTGCAGACACTCTGTTGGAATCGGAGTGATTTCAGGCGTTACGAAGATTAGAATTATAAACTCCACTCTTACTTCAAATCTGTGTTTGATTAAAATTTTAAAAACATTGCTAAAATAAGATTTCTTGAACTCCCTTCTCTCCAGTTTTCACCTTCTCCTGAAGGTAATTAATAACTCAGGCTGGAGTAAGGTTCCACCCTTCAGTATCTCCCCCAAATGGATATTCATTCTTCACATGTGAGTGCAGACAGCGTGTATCAGCAGACTGTTCATTAATCATCCAAATGGAGCATCTGTGCAAAGTATTTATGGAATTCATCAAGTTGTCCACCCAAATAAATAACTTCCTTCCACCCCCTCCCTCCCTCTAACAAAGAATACCTGAGCAGGTTGTGTGCACATACCTCATTCTTACCGTGTTATCTTTCACAAAATACATAGTCACTCCACTTTACAATATATTCTGTGAAGCGCTTTGAGATATCTCAATGACGTGATAAGGCACTACTGTCAAATGTAAGGATTATTATTATTATGTCCTAGACGAACCACATTGCCTTTTCCATTTCTATTGATTTAAAACTAATAATGACCCACCTCCCCCCCACTTACAATGATTGTTTTTTTTACACCCGAAGTAGCTTTATTTTCATAAGGCGTATTATGAAACAGTGTTTGATCTGAAATGTTAATGGCTCCATTCCTATATCACAAAACTACAGGTTTTATTTAAATAGGAGACTCAAATAAATACGTTTTCATGCCATGTTGATTTTTAGATTCTCAGCTCTTCAGTAATACTGAACATGAAGCACAAGTAAAACAGTTCTCCTGTTACATTGCTAAACACAGCAAACTAGATTAGCTTTAATCCTTTTTAATCTGTCTTTATCCTTTGTGTTGCAAAATGCATCGGTCGGGTTTTCATGGAAACGGGTTGCTATGGTAGCAGATTTTAGATGTACGAATAACATTATACATTTGAGATTTTTAGCTGGAGAGCCTAGAATTTTGAGTTATTTTCATGTAGTCCAGCAGCCACTTGCCAACTGTGTTTTAGTTCAGAAAGTAAGTCGTTACCCAATTAGTTGGAACAATGGAGGCAAATATGATTGAGATCTTTCTAGACAATAAGATCCCAATCTCTGGTATGCAGAGATAGGTGCTTTCCATAGGGAAGAAAGAAAAAATGTTTTCCGATTAACTGGGCATCAAACGTTAAATACAGTTTGTGAAAGGAATATCATTTTCCAAATTCGTTTAACGTTTTTTAACATGGGTCAGACATAGGCAGGGATTTGTGTATTTTAGTATGCACTTAACCCCATGTGTTTGTCATAGGTCTTGCCTTAGAAAAATACACTCACTTCACTTCCCCAATCAGGAGATATGCAGACATAGTGGTACATAGACTACTGATGTCAGCGATATCAAAGGATAAGAAGTTGGAACAAGAAGAACCATTGCTCAGCAACAAGGATTTGGAGGAGTTATGTCAACATATCAACAACAGGAATAAGGTAAAACACACACATAACTAACTTTTTTTTTTAGTTGGTAATGCAGTTGCTTTTAATTTTTAGATCTTCAGCTCTTCAGTAAAACTGAACATGAAGCACAAGTAAAACTGTTCTCCTGTTACATTGCTAAACACAGCAAACTAGATTAGCTTTAATCCTTTTTAATCTGATAATTTTGACAAGTTCTTAAATTTTATAAAATCTTTTGTTACAGCTGGTTGTGGATGGGCAGACGTTGTAGCTCTGACAAACATTGACTACGTTGTTAGTCCCTGTTGAGTTTGTGGCCGGTAATTTGTTTGGTTAGGTTTTCTTCTTGAACAATCTGAATTGAGTTTTGTAAACTGAGAAAGGTGAGGATGATAAGCCGTGTAAATAACTGATAATGAGAACCTAGTCAGACTTCTGAATTTAGTATTGTAGCTTAAGTCAGTTTCGATTCTTTCCTAGGCTGCTCATTGTGCACAGAAGCAGTCCGTAGAACTTTTCCAATGTATGTACTTCAAGGATAAAGACCCGTTTACCAATGACCAATGTACAGCGGATGGAATCATATATTCTATACGAGCAAATGGTGTTCTGGTGTATGTAGCAAGGTGGGTGCTCAATAATACCCTGAGTCGACATCTTATTACCAGTTTTTGAACTTAGTTCATGGTCAAAAGTTTTAGTCTTTGAGTGACTTGTCGTGTAATCTAGGTATGGGATAAAAGGCGCAGTGTACCTGAAGAACAAAGAGGGCCATGTAATTTCTGCAAAGACTGATGGAACGTGTGAATGGAAGCCTGGCTCGCTCAGGCGCCTTCGAGACAAAGTTATCTGCACTACAGCTGGAGGAGGATCTATGACCTTCACTCTATTTGAGCATGTCACTGTAAGGTTCCAATTCTGCATATTGTACTGGGGAGTGAATTAGTGTAAAGAACAACAAGTGCTTTTTGTGATATAATTTGTTTTTACAATGATGGCCCAATGGGTACCAGCACTATTGGGCAGCATCAAGCCATACACATCAGAAAGATACAAGTCTGAGTATCGATCTGTTAGCCTTTCTTAGCTGGGATAGATTCCTGTAGTGGTTTCTCTTTACATAGAGACGAAAGCTCAGTCTCAGCGGTTACAGGAAAAAAATATGTGGTCAGAAAGGGATTTGTTTTTAAGACTATTCTTTTCTGAGCTCAGAATAATAATCCTTGTATTTGATATAGCACCTTATCACGTCTTCGAAGCGTCTCAAAGTGTCCATTGTGCTAGGTCAGTGCCTCCTGCCCAAACTTCAATACATGGTAAATATATATGAATCTCAGCCACGTTTTCTCAAGGAAGAAAGTGATTTTAGTTAAAAAAAACCCACTAAGGATAGAGATCACCTACATGAACTAGTGGACAAGGCCCAGGAAGATAATAAAATATGCTTACCTTTTTAAAATTCTTTCCTCTTCCTCAAAAGGTAAGAATATCTGTAATATCATCCCGATCCCATCCTGACAGCATCAAACTGGACATCATCAGCAACCAGCCCCACAAGACACAACAGACAGAACCACTGCATGGAACAGCAGCCACTTCAAAAGCAGACTTAGTGCAGGATGTAATCAGATCTGCTGAAGAGGCACAACTTGCTCAAGAACATGCCCGGAGTATAACCATCAGAGATGAAGACCGAGAATACTGCCAGACCCAAGGGAACAGCCTGTACTCACTGCTGGAAGAAATCAGGGAATTAGCACTTTTGGATGTTAAAGCTGTATGAGTGATATGGTTGTTTTTAAAGTTCCTTTTAATTGGTAAAATACTGTGATTTAATGTAAATGATGTGGAATTGCACCACTTGTGACAGCAGCTGTGAAAGAACATACATAGAATTGGAGGCTTTTTTTCTAATTCCCCTCAATGTTAGTTGAGCATTTTAGAAGTAAAGAAAATGGGATTTTAGAGCTTTTATTTAGACCAAATGAAATGTTGGTTAATGAGGCTGGTGTGTGCCAGTTGCACTGATGTAGAAATTCACAATTGGTGAACTGATTTGAGTTTAATGTAAATATTTTTTATTCAGAAGCATTTAACTACAAAAAGTCTCATGTCATTATTTTCCCTTGATATATGAACTTTCATAAAGGTGGTTTATACCACCTACATCACAGAATATACCAAATAACAGGGTTCATTGAACTTCCACATAGAACTACAAAGAGAAAATGGCGTGTGTGTGACCTTCTGGTGATAATTTCTTTCCAACACTTTACCACCAAAAAGGGGAAGGTGATGGACAGGATTACTGGGCCCCAAGCACATTGAGACAGACTCAATACCTGGGAATTAAAAAGATTTCTAGCTTTAAATAGTGAACAGCAAAGGTGAAACCCTAAACAAAATGGATTTTATGGTTAATCCCGTCTTGCAGAAAGCTGGGAGTAAAAATAAGCACTTTGTGATCAGCGTGTAGTACTCTTGTGAAAACAATGAAGGAATTATCCTTCATGTAGTCACATACCTTACTCCTTGAATAAAGCTTCATTGCTCAACCAGAATACATGAACTATATATACAGTTGTCATATACCTCTAGTTACTAAGACCTTTAACAACCATCATAAGCAATTTAAGACTTCACAAGAAACGTGTTCAGTCAACCTCTTTGGTGGATTCTTGCTCCAACATTGGTTTCAAAGCATCTGTTGGCTCAGTTAATGTTCCCGTGATTACATTTTCCACCTTGGTTGCTCTCTCCAGAGAGATATTAGAGATTTCAGCCGTTTCTGTTTTGGATTCCTGGATTGATTTAGAAGAGTCTGTTTCTTCAGTTACCTCAGTAGAAGCATCCAGAGTTTCCATAGTAAGATCTTCCTCTATCGCTGGGCATTCAGGCTCCTGATCTCGTTCAGAAGAGTCAACTGTTTCAGTTCTCTCTTTTAGAGATTCTAAATTTTCTACATCTACACCATCAAACACATGTGGACTCTCCACGATCTTCACTTTGTTCAGTTCCATGGACTGAGTTGCTGGCTGAGAATGACCTAGATCTAAACATACAATGAGTAACGTTAAGACAAATGCATGCAAGAACTTAGTTTTGTTTTGTACCTCTGGCAAACAGTTTCAACTAAATGAAAATAGTGATGGACGGCTCTAACGGGAAGTATTTGGATTCCCAAACTAGGGAGTCCAGAAATAGCCAAAATGTCGCTTTGTGCACAACTCAGAACCAATATTGATAGTTTTGCAACTCTCACCAGAAAGCTTGTTTTTCAGAGACTGCATATTGAAACTGAATTTACCTTTCCCAATTCATGTGCAGCATTTGATTAGGTTCCCCAGAAGCCCACGCATCAATCTACAGGCAATGTATTCATATAAAACAGAACATCTCATAGACCTAAGCAACACATCTACACCAATATAACTATTTATAGTGCTGCCCAAGAGTTAAGTCTACTTTGAATTTCTATCTCTAGTTGCTCTTACAGTTCAATAGTGATTTTTAGTAATGTGTTCAGTTAAAGCCCATAGGATTTTAAGCACATTGTAGATCTCTCATCTATAGTTTCATCATGATTAGGATTTAATGGAAACATCAATTAGCTACTTATTGCCCTTAAAAGCGTACTAAAGATCAGTTTTACCATTTCTGGGTGTTTGATTTGCCGAGTGCAGTTTGGCTTGTCGCCTCTCTAGTGCGAGTTGTTTGTTCCTTTCCATCCTCAGCCGCTGCTCCTCAGAGAGCACACTTGGGCTTGGAGTAGGTTCTGCTGCCTCCTGACTAGGTCTCCCACTGAACGAGTTTTCTAGATCACCATCAATTTGCAGATCATCCGTTTCTTTTACCTCTGTAAAACAAAATTAACATTTTGGAACAAATTAATTTAATCTTGTGTCTGTCCAATTATGGTATGCAAAAAAGAACTACGCAGGTTAAATTCCCAATGTGTGCTGAGTTAACCAAGCAACGGTGGAGATCAATGAAAAACACAGATTAAAACAATGCAATATGTAAGAGAATACCACTATAGCAAATTAATCATCCACTATAAAATCAATAACAAACAAAAAATAAATTAGGTGGTGTAATATGCCTTGCTATTCATTGTTTTGTCTATACAGTATAAAACCTTTTACAGTATACTAACAAAAGACCTGAATGGGCCCTTGCCTTCTTTAGAGATGAAATCATCATGTGTGATAGGTAGATTAAGACGAATCCTCTTCAAACAGGTCTGAAATGTAAAAATATGGAGTAAGAAATATTGGGATAATTCTCATTAATAAGCAGAAATATGAATAACATGAAAACAGTGACTTCACTTTACAGTATATGCTATGAAGTGCTTTGGGACATCCTCCTGACATTAAAGGTGCTGTACTAAGTATAACGATTATTATCATCATCTTTCCATGTCTGTCAACAGCACTGAAGATTATTGCTATCTGAAATACATTTTTTTTTAAAAAAAGCCAATTTCATTCAGTGTTTTAATTTCCAGACAAAATATACAGATGATGTAGTTGGTCAATTAATTTAAAAACATTTTCACCCCACTGAAGAAAAAGTGGCTTTATACTTAAAAGCTTAACATCAATGGTTACCTGAACTTCTTTTTTACTACCTAAAGACTCCACTTGATCTACAAACTCATCAAATTGTAGCTTCGGGTACAATCTGTGAGCCCAGTGCTCCATGTGCTGAAGCAGAGTCTTCAGATCCTCAGTCTAAACCAGAAACAGTGAAAGAGAGAGAAATAAATAAGACTCATAACATAAAAAGCATGGAATTATAATTACTAATGAGCTCCTGCAAAATCAGCCCAATGCAGTCCCAAGAAACTACAAAATACTTATTATTATTGCAACCTGGCACACAATCTAGTTTACTGAGAATGAACAAGTAACAAGTAGGTTCTATCAGAAATTCTCTAGTGTCAACAATGGCAAATGACAGGATAAAATTATGGTGATTGCTCATTTAAATAATATTAATATTTAAAAACATAACGTCTTTATAGTGTGAATGAAAGCACATGCAACAGCAAAATAAAAACAAACTGCCTGTAGCATTAATAGACAGCCTGGTTTAATTAGTTAAATTTATGTCGAGACTGATTCTTTAGATATTAGATCAAATATAAGGAATATTATTTAGTGAACAGAGCAGAATAACCCCTATTCTATCCACAAACAGCGAATAAACCAAAACATAATCTTGCCTCGTGTCCTTTCCCTTTAAAACGAACATTATTGAACATAGTCCGTAACGCTGGCAATCCTCGCTCTGAAGTCAACCTGAAAAAAACATTTAAAAATCAGATCTCAAACAATAGTGGTAATTGATTTCTATACAAGCTTTGAGGGGAAAAAACATTCAACCCAGAATCACAGTCACACCAAGAAAACCAAGGAGGCAGTCCAAGTTTGCATGGGTTACCTGTGAGCATCTAGTTTGGGCTGTGGTCTCTTTACTCCTTTCCTGACAACCACAGGTGGATCTTGGTCTTTGGCTCTTCCAGCTTCCTCATCTAAAGGTAGAATAATACAGAACACCACATTGATATCAGCCCACAACTGAGATCCAAATAATTTCAAAGAGAAAAACTGAATATACCTTCAACATAGGGATTATTTCTCTGTGTTATGAACCTTTTGGGGGGGCATCATTGCATTTATCACCTTTAGTAAAGTTTTATTTCATTAAACAATCTGCTGGTTTGAGCTATAATATCCACTTTACAAAAGTTTTGGCAGTGTGTGGAGAACACACACCTCTGGTACATCACAGCTTGTGCAAGAGCAGAGCGCAGACACAATGCATAAGAAACTCCACAGTAATCAGAAGCAAGCCTATTGCAGAAACAGCACTCTTCAAAAAAAATACACCATTTGTTTTAAGTACCTCAGCACTTTTTACTTTTTTTCCCCCGCCCTCACATTTTCTTCCCAGATGAGAGTATTCTGGGGAGAAGTGTTAAAAGTTAATTCTCTGGTGCCACATCGTATTTATCTGTGGCTTGTTGTACCACATTCCAACCACCAGGTAGCACGCTGCACAAACCTTAGTCTGGATGTCATATTGCAAAGAGCAGAGCCATAATGTCTACCCAAACATTTGTAATCATTTATTTAATTACAGCTGATATTCTTAGAAGTACAGTAGCACAAGGAGACTGATACAAGGACTCAACAATAACACATCAAAAGAACCACAGCCAATTTAGAGGCTCACTTCCCAGCTCAGTATGTTTATGCATTAGTTTGATAATACCAAGATGATTGCATTCATTGCAGTGGTTAGCAGCAGGAGTACAAATTGTTCTTCAAAGTTTTCCCATTTGGAACAAAGCCAAAGAATGTAAAGAACAAGTTGATAACGTTCTGGCCTTTGTTTTTTTTAAAAAGTTCATTCAAATCAACATTTGTCAAAAGACCTATTTATATATGCTGCTATATATGTTTTAATAATGGCTTACCACTATTGCCTTCTATCTGTCCAGGAGATGAAGGAGGAGGAAGAGGTGGAAATGTTTCATCTTCCAGTTGGTCATAGTCAGGGATATCGAACAAACCTGTTTCAAAAGGCTCAGCCATCTCAGCCTATTTATGACACAAAAAGATAGAAAAATGGTAAAGTCATTGTACGATTTTAAGTGGTTCGTCTTACACCAATACGTATTCCATTTCTGTTCACTTGTTTTGCTTCTTATTGAACTTTCCTTCAAAGTTTCTTTTTGAACAATGTAAATCACTGGGGTACAACAATTCCGAGTTAAATCGCTGATGGTCAGTAAAAGGACCTACAATCACTGACACTTTTCTTACACAACTGGTTAGCTCTGGTACAATTCTGAATGAAGTTTATTTACAATATACTGAACAATAACAATAATAATAATAATCCTTGCATTGGACATTGCACCTTATCACGTCTCAAAGCGCTTCACAGAAATAGGCTGTCAAGTGGAGTGACTGTATATTTTGTGGGCGAAACATTCTCACGAGTGTCTCACGTGTTTCGTCAGAAACTGCAGACAAGTAACGCTCACGAAATGATCAGCTTCAAAAAGGTCAAATTATTATTATGGCTAATCCGCCCCCCCCCCACCACCACAGAACAAGGCTCTGTGACCACTCTGCCCTCTTGCCAGATGTTGCTCCCTTCACAGACACAGGGCGCACTATTTAGCAGGGAGGGGAGGAGCGCAGCACATCGTCCACACCGTTAACCTGAGGGAGGTGAGTGGGGGGAGAAGGGGGTGAGGTGAGTGGGGGGGTGAGGTGAGGGCGGGGAGGGGGGGAGGGGGTGAGGGGGGGGAGGGGGTGAGGTGAGTGGGGGAGGGGGTGAGGTGAGGGTGAGGTGAGGGCGAGAGGTGAGGGCGAGAGGTGAGGGTGAGGGTGAGGTGAGGGCGTGAGGTGAGGGGGGGAGGGGTGAGGTGAGTGGAGGGGGTGAGGTGAGTGTGGGGGGGAGGTGAGTGTGTGGGGGGGAGGGGGGAGGTGAGTGTGGGGGGGAGGGGGTGAGGTGAGTGGGGGAGGGTGTGAGGTGAGTGTGGGGGGAGGGGGGGGGAGGTGAGTGTGGGGGGGAGGGGGGAGGTGAGTGTGGGGGGGAGGGGGGGAGGTGAGTGTGGGGGGGGAGGGGGGGAGGTGAGTGTGGGGGGGAGGGGGTGAGGTGAGTGGGAGGAGGGGTGAGGTGAGTGTGGGGGGGGGAGGGGGGGAGGTGAGGGAGGAGGGGGGAGGTGAGTGGGGGGGGGAGGGGGGAGGTGAGTGTGGGGGGAGGGGGGGAGGTGAGTGTGGGGGGGAGGGGGGAGGTGAGGGAGGAGGGTGAGTGTGGGGGGGGGGGGAGGTGAGGGAGGAGGGGGGAGGTGAGTGGGGGGAGGGGGAGGGTGAGTGGGGGGGAGGGGGAGGTGAGGGAGGAGGGGTGAGTGTGGGGGGGGGGGGAGGTGAGGGAGGAGGGGGGAGGTGAGTGGGGAGGGAGGGGAGGGGTGAGTGGGGGGGAGGGGGAGGTGAGGGAGGAGGGGTGAGTGTGGGGGGGGGGGGGGGGGAGGTGAGGGGAGGGGAGGTGAGTGGGGGGGGAGGGTGGGAGGTGAGGGGAGGTGAGGGGGGGGGGGAGTGAGGGAGGAGGGTGAGGTGAGGGTGGGGGGAGGGGGGGGGAAGGGGAGGGTTCAAACCGCCACCAACTTTTAAAACCGAAACCAGAATAAAAAACGATTAAAAGTCTCCATCGCTGTAAAAACGCCGAGTGCAGGAATCTGGAGGGGATTTTTTTTTTCCTTTTTGGTCGCGCGAAATGAATGAATGAATTTAATTTAATTTTTTTTTTAAAAAAAATCCCTTTTTTTTTCCCTCCCTCCCGTGAAACTCACCAGGTCGGTCGGTCGGTCTCTCCCTCTCTCCCCCGCGCTTCCCGCGCGGGATAACGGCACTTTACCGGCAGTTTTTCAAAAAAAAACACAGTGACGAACGACCAACCGCCGCTCTCCGCCCGCGAGACTCACCGTTCCCGCGCTCCCCGCCCCCGCCCCGAGGCTAAACCAACCAATCACAGCCCCACCGCCCCACCGGACATGGACTCCGGCCAATCAGAGGCCGAGACAGACCCTGGCCAATCACAGCCCCCAACCCGGACACGGACTCTGACCAATCAATCAGGGGCCTAGTTAGGCTCTGGCCAATCAGAGCGCTGGATACGCGCTCTGGCCAATCGGAGACCGAGAGAGGCTCTGGCCAATCAGAACCTCCCCGGACGTAGACTCCGACCAATCAGAGGCCTAGATAGGCTCTGGCCAATCAGAGCGCTAGACACGCACTCTGGCCAATCAGTATCATAGGGCAGGAACCCAATAGGGCAACCAATAGAATCAGGGAGATCTCTTTCACTCTCTCTCTCTCTCTCTCTCTCCGCCAATCAGAACGTGGCTCATGCTCCCAATGAACCAATCAGACAGGCGCCCTCGCACAGGGCGATCGCCGCCAATCGGATCGAGGGCTGAGCAGAGTGCGGGAGGTTTGACTGCGTCACTGACCACAACTTGGCACAGGGGAGGGGCGGGCGGAGAGGGCCTTTCGGCCCATCTCGTAGCATCGTGGAATCGTACAGCGCGGAGGGAGGCCATTCGGCCCATCGTGTCTGTGCCGCTCTTTGAAAAGAGCTTCCAAATCAACCCCACTCCCCCCCCCCACCGCCCTCTCCCCATAGCCCTGATCAACCCCACTCCCCCCCCACCGCCCTCTCCCCATAACCCTGATCAACCCCACTCCCCCCCCCCCGCCGCCCTCTCCCCATAGCCCTGATCAACCCCACTCCCCCCCCGCGCTCTCCCCATAGCCCTGATCAACCCCATAGCCCTGATCAACCCCACTCCCCCCCCCGCCCTCTCCCCATAGCCCTGATCAACCCCACTCCCCCCCCCCCACCGCCCTCTCCCCATAGCCCTGATCAACCCCATAGCCCTGATCAACCCCGTAGCCCTGATCAACCCCACTCCCCCCCCCGCCCTCTCCCCATAGCCCTGATCAACCCCACTCCCCCGCCCACCGCCCTCTCCCCATAGCCCTGATCAACCCCACTCCCCCCGCCCTCTCCCCATAGCCCTGATCAACCCCATAGCCCTGATCAACCCCACTCCCCCCCCCGCGCCCTCTCCCCATAGCCCTGATCAACCCCACTCCCCCCCTCGCCCTCTCCCCATAGGCCCGATCAACCCCACTCCCCCCCCCACCGCCCTCTCCCCATAGCCCTGATCAACCCCACTCCCCCGCTCTCTTCCCACAGCCCTCTCCAAATAATTATCTACTTCTCTCTTAAAGGTCGTTATCGAATCAGCTTCCACCGCCCTTTCAGGCAATACATTCCAGATCCGAACCACTCGCTGTGGGAAAGAAAATCCCTCCTCACCTGCCCTCTGTTTCTTTTATTTAAATCGGTGTCCTCGGGTTACCGACCCTCCCAACCCGGCAGTGGAATTTAGAGCTCATTCTTCCAGAATAGTGGTCTAACAGTCTCAAGGGGTTTCTTAAAGGAACTCAGTCAGCCGTGGCCCTTCCTTGCAGCCTGTTCTAGCTGTGCGTTATAATCCTTGCATTTGATATAGCGCCTTATAGCCTCTTCGAGACGTCTCAAAGCGCTTCATAGAATATACTGCAAAGTGAATTGACTGCGTATTTTGTGGGCAAAGCGCGGCAGCCAATTGCGCACAGCAGTGTTCCCACAAACAGTTGTTGATTGATTGATAGCATTACCTTCTGTACGTGAAGAAAAACACATATTTTCTCGTATCTACCCTATATTTGGCCTTCCCGGCCCCTTGGGATGTCCTCCCAACATGACAGGCGCAATACAAAAGTAATTTTGCTGTTGTTGTTGTTCATCCCATGCTCCCTTTCGGGTCCCTATTCCATTCTGAAAGATATTGTACTGCAATATTCCATTGTATTTTTGAGGGTTACAAAAATGAGCAATTTATTTTGTTGGTTAAGATGTGATTTAGGCTCCGTCACTGTTAAGCGTCTGAGATACTATCCTGTGTGGAGGGCGCTATACATGTGCAAGTTGTTGTTGTTGGGTCATTTCTTACAAAAGCTACGATTCATTAGCAGATAACAACAACAACTAACATATATATATATATAGCGTCCCTCACACAGGGTAGTATCTCGGAGCGCTTGACAGTGGCAGAGCGCAATCCTGAACCAGATTAGACACCACCTATTCGACAACTCAACAAAGGTATTACAAAAAGCCTCAGAGTCCCTGTTCTTCTGTCAAAGGAATTGCTAATAAACTGAATAATGTGAGAGCTTAGTACAAGGAGTTATGCAAGAGTTTGAATAATCAATGCTACTGAAAAAAACTTTTATAGATATGTTAATGAGGGGAATGGAGCATAACTATTGAAGCTGGTCTGGTTGTGTCAGAACATGGAGTGTTATCAAGTGTTAATGTTTATGGTTGCTATAGCTACCTGAATTTGCTGCAGCCACAGACCTGTCAAATCTCCTTTATTTCTTGTGTAAGCTGATTTTTTATTTGTGTGTGAAGTAATGAAATCTCTTTGTTTCACGTTGCAATGGATTTTTGAATCTATGCGGTATTTTGTTCCCCCAATTCTGATACCTCTCCCCTCTTGAATGTGCTGAGCTGTATGTAGCACAGGCCCTCTGGTACCTAAGAAATATAATAATAATAATAATAATCCTTGCATTTGATATAGCGCTTTTCACGTCTTCTCGACGTCTCAAAGCGCTTCACAGAATAGACTGTAAAGTGAATTGACTGTATATTTGTGGGCGAAACGCGGCAGCCGATTGCGCACAGCAGTGTCCCCTCAAACAGTCATGGATTGAAAATGACCAATTTATTACTGTTTTTGTTTTGGAGGGATTATTATAGATAGTAACGTAGTCATTGTATATCTGCATCACAGCTGGACTCAATCCGGTCCTCTCCCAAAATCCACACACATATGCACTTTCCAACATGATTACCAGATAGAGAACAGAAACAGGAATCCTGGTTGATTTTTCCTCTCCACAGTCAATGCAAGGATTATTATTATTATTATTATTTATTATTATTATTATGACTGCTACCCCAGCTGAGATCAGTGGAAATTGGCATTAAATCTGTAACCTTTTTGATCATCCTCAATACAACAATGACTAATGTTGACTGGCAATTATGTATGTTTTCTCGTCCCTGGAATTATCATGGAGAAAACAGAGTTTATTAGAGTCATGGCCCCTTGGGTGTGCAGTAGGGAAACCTCCCTCATTTTGAGCCTCTTATACAGCATCCCCAATGCCTCTCCAACATCCTCTTTTCTATATGTTAATCATATTGTTTCTATTCATAATCCTAGTACCAGCACTCAAGTGGTCTCTACTACTAAATAACCAATTAATATTCAAAAGTCCTCTAGTCTGTTAATCCAACTAAGAGTGCTTATGAATATTAATATCTCAATTTATCTTAACGGAGAATCTGAAATTTGGACTCATCTAAGTCTTAGGTCTAAATTCTAATTTCTGCATATAAACACCCAATAAACTCAAGGTACAAGAAATATTTTCTACCTCTTGCACCTTACTTTTATTGGTAGAACCAAGAGGGACGAATCCCTGGCCCCAGTGACCTCCCAAGTCCATTATTCAAGTATTCATTAATGTGTCTTAGCTGATAAAACATTATATTTCACCAGGTATTGGAAAGAGGTGGTTTCTCCAAGGCTGTTGGCTGACACCACTCATTGGAAATAGCTCAATAAATCACATATATCCCTTGTTGGGATCTGGTATATCCATTTGATAAGTGATTTTTTCCATTACTGCAGATAAGACACATTTTTCAACCAGCTCCTAACCCCCGCTAAATAAGTCAAACAAGTCTGCTTTAAATCATTATGATAATTAACTTCAATAATAATGTTTAAACTGGTCAGCATTACTTATTGCGTCGGATAACAGATTATGATATTTAATATTCTGATCGTTTTGAGAAATCCTCACAGAGCTTTATTTTTCTTTTTTCTCTCTCTCTCTCCAATGCTGAGCGGTAAATCAGCTTCATCGAGATGGATATGAAACTGTACGAAATATACCGACCTTTCCTGTCAAAGCTTCACACAAGGACCAGGTGTCCAAGGAAACAGGGTATTTAAGCTTTCACGCTTCAGAGGAGAGAAGGGCTTTGAATGAGAGAACTTGGCATTGGATCTACATATACCGCAAGAATGTATGTGTAGATAACATCCTTCATGTGGGGTAGGTTTCACAGAGCATTGTTGTAGTTGATAATAATAATAATCCTTGCATTTGACTGAGATTATAAACTCAGGTACTGGTGTCGGGGCTTAAACCCACAGACTTCTGGCCCAGAGGCAAGAGTGCTACAAACTGACACGCTCTGCCTTCACCCTCTCTGCCTGTCGGCAGCGTTAAGGAAACAAGATCTCGCAATGGACTTGAAATGTGCTATAAATATATATCCACTCTCTAACTCGGCCGGGCTATCTTGCACCCCAGCCCCGTCACCCTATAACCGGCCTCAGGAGATCAGGAACCACCATATCCTGTTAAGAACAGGAATAATCTTGGTCTACACATTTAAACCCTCATTTTTATTCCCAAATAGGGGTTTATCCAGCTCGCTTTGAAGGAATTTATCAACACAGCAGCAGCTGGTATTGGGGACAGTCTGTTCCACAAAGTCACCACTTGATAGAGGAAACCGTCTAACAGTAAATTTCACTTATGAATAATAATCCTTGCAATTGATATTGTCTTTAACGTACAGAAGGATTTGAGGCTATTTACGCCGTCAATTCGCTTTACAGCGTATTCTGTTAAGCGATTTGAGACGTCACACACTGATGTGATGAGGCGCTATATCAAATGCAAGGATTATTATTATTATTATTATTATTATTTTACGATTCATTTCAAGTGCAATAACCGTAACAGTGCTGTGTTTGCACATGCGAGTTGGGGGTCTTGTGGGCGACACACTCTGAAGTGTTGCCAGGAGCAAAACATGGGAAGAGTAGGGCAGAGCCGGGAGGGGAGGTGGGGGGGGGGGGGGGGGAGGTCACGGTTTGAGTTGCAAAGCTTTGTGTAACTAATGCTAAAAGTTGAACAGTAAGTCTTAACGAGTGCAGTTATTACCTCCAGAACAGGGGCTCGTGATAGTGGAGAAAGGGCAGGAGGTAGTTATTTTTTATCGCCCCCCCCCCCCCCACCCCCGCCGCCCGCCAGACTTTTACGGTTTACTTTGGTTTTACCATTTTCTAGAAGTTTTTTTTTTTACACTTCCCCCCCCACCCCCCACCAAAACCCCCTGCAAAGTGCAAAACCCAGAGGAAACACATCAGACAAGATACACGCGGGTGTCAGCGATTTATGATTATCTGTGAAGTTGTTGTTTTCGCTCATGATATTTTTTATTCTGTCTGATGTGTAAATTCGAGGGGGGGTGGGGGGGGGAGAGAGGTGGAGACACAGTATGTGTGGAGGGGGGGGGGGGGGGGGGGAATAAAATGCCCAGTATTTTAATCTCAATACAATTTAGAAAGCAGCATTTCTTTTTATATAAAAAAAAGGTTTTTGATGTAAAATATATTCCACAATCCTGAAGATTCTCATATCACTTGATGTGTCTCCTGTCCTGATGGTGGGAGTCAGAGGGGGAGAGAGAGAGAGGGGGGGGGGGGGGGGTGGGGGGTGTAGAATTTTTTTTGAGGAGGGGGCAGTGGGTGGGGGGGGGGGGAGAGATTGTGAAATGGTTCTTTAATCCACTGTCTGATCCAGTGCAGACTCGAGGGGGAACCAGTGCTGTAACACTCTCGTGGGGGTGTGGGGGGGAGAGTGTGTGTGTGTGGGGGTGTGTGGGGGGGTGTGGGGTGTGGTGTGTGTGTGGGGGGGGAGTGTGTGGGTGTGTGTGTGGGGGGGGGTGTGTGTGTGGGGTGTGTGTGTGTGTGTGGGGGGGGTGTGTGTGTGGGGTGTGTGGTGTGTGTGTGTGTGTGGGGGGGGGGGGTGTGGGTGTGTGTGGTGTGTTGGGGGGGGGTGTGTGGGGGTGGGGGGGGGTGAGTGTGTGTGTGTGTGTGTGGGGGGGGGGGGTGGGGGTGTGTGTGTGGGGGGTGTGTGTGGGGGGGTGTGTGTGTGTGGGTGTGTGTGTGTGTGGGTGGGGTGTGTGTGTGTGGGGGGGTGTGTGTGGTGTGTGTGGTGTGTGTGTGTGGGGGGGGTGTGGGTGTGGGGGGTGTGTGTGTGTGTGTGGTGGGTGTGTGTTGTGGGGGTTGGGGGCTGTGTGTGTGTGTGGGGTGGGGGTGGGTGGGTGTGTGTGTTGGGG